CCAGAGACTTTACATACAAAGGAAAGCCGAATATCTGTGGTGGTTAGTCACCATTCTAAATAGATTTCACAGCAGCAGATCAAATGTAACCTCAAATAATTCTGAAATGAAAGTAAGCATTCTATGAAAACATGATATTATAGTGCAGAAGATTAGGTTGTTAATGGTGGATATGTTAAGCAGGCAAGCTTAGAATTTCATATTTCTACTTAATATTAAAATAGAAATTTTAGTCTACAGTGAAAAGAATAGCTTTGTAGGATACTAGGTTGTTTCTACTTTTCACAAAGTATCCAGATTTTCATTACATATGATTTCTTCTCTAAAATTTAAACTATTGAGAAAAATATCAGTTTAATCGCCCATAAAACAGATAAAATTCTTTATTGTAGAATTTCAACCATGATATTGATCCATGGTCCAAACATTATTTTCAAACTGTAGTAAGAAAGGAATACCTAAAAGACTAGCAATAACAACAATACATGAAATGCATGCACACAAAATAAAATGACCCTCCCCTAAATGAAAATGTATTTTGCAAGCTAGTCTAATTACTGCCATTCTTGTTAAGAACTTTCCTGAAAGTCAGTTTCTTTGTTGGTGTATTTTTTTCCTTTACTTGCTACTTTGCATGGTCTGCTATAAAGTTTTACTGAACAGTTCAACAGCTGGACAATATTGCATGTGCAGTTGTCTATCTCTAACCTGCAGTCTGACTCAGAATTGTCCTGTAGTTTTGAATTATCTTACAGTGGAATAGTGTGGTTGAAGGCCAAGGCAACTGCCTAATGATTCTTGTTGCTCACTGATTAATGAGTTGTGGCATGAGTATGAAGCTGTAATCATGCTCTCAGATAACAAGGCACACTTGAACAGCTAAGTATTACTCACGTCCAATTTTCTTCAAAGTTAAATTTTCAATGAATAGTTGATTTGGGGTACATAAAATATATTTTTCTGTTCAATAATTTAAGTATTTCTTCTTTCAATGATTTATTTATTTATTTTTAAGTTTGCTATAGGGCACATGGGCTCACCAGAGGAGAGAGAGAGTGTGAGAAAGCAAGCCACCAGGCCCATGATCCAAACTGTGGTTGGCCATATGAGAGTCCAGCACCTCAACCACTCTGCCACCTGCTGGCCCCAATGTAAGTATTTCTTAGTTGTGACTGTAGGTTGAATTGGTCTTGATCTACTGGTATGGTAAATTACAAAAACAAAAACAAAAAAAAACTGAACAAAGAATCTATCATGAAATAATCTAATAAATTAAAGTCTAGGAATAACTGATGGGTTTGGATCAGCAGATGGCATACTGGCTAATGCACTGGACTCCTACATAGCTAAATGTAGTTTGAGTCTGGGATCTGGCAGTTTGAAAAATCACACGAGGCACATATGCACGTGTGTCCAAAATTACAGCAGGAAAATAGAGAAGAAGAAATTGCAGTGTGGTCATCGCCCCATACAATGATTTTTCAATTTCTCTCTCACTGTCTTTCTCTGTCTCTCCAGCAAGTGCATGCACCCTATGGCAAAAACCTTGAAACAAAACAAAAACAAAACACAATATGAAAACAAAGCAAAAATAGAAAAACAAGAGACGGGTTTATGTTATTCATTGGAAAACTTTGCTGAAAACAGTTACCTACATAAATAAATAAAAGTATATCTCAGTGCAATTCTGTTGACCACATTTGTAAATATGAGAGTACTGAAGAAAGACTAAGGGACTGTACAGTTAGTTTTATACATTGTTACAAGTTATGAGGTGTCCCCACACTCATATGTGGACATATGAAATATGCATATCCCGGGACCAGCAGGTAGCGTAATGGCTATGTTGCTGGACTCCCGTGTAGTCGACTGCAGTTCAAGTCCTGGACCTGGCAGCTTAGACTCACGCTGGGCGCGTGTGCGTGTGTGCCCAAGATCCGGAGAGGAGAATGGAGGAGAAGGGATTGCAGCGTGGTCATCCCCCCTTGGGGGTGATTTCTTGCTTTCTGTCTCTCTGTCTCTCTCTGTCTGTCTGGCGAATGCACGTGCCCTATAGCAAAAACCTCTCCAAAAAAAATATGCATATCCCAAGAGGCAGAAAGGGGATACTATAGGTAATTATTCTAAAGTAAAAGATGAATATAGAACAAATAAGTAGATGAAAAGAACTGCTATAAAGGGTATTAGCAATGGGACTGCATAAATAGCTTTTACACAACAAAGGAAACAATCAACAAAATAAAGAGACAATCTACAGAATGGGGAAAATATTTGTGAAGTATTTGACTAATAATAGATTAAATGCCACAATATAGAAAAAATTAAAATAGCTCATCAGAAAAAGAAGTCCAGTTGAAAAATGCACAGTTGATCTGAAAAAATAGTTCTCAAAAGAAGACATACAAATGCTCAGTAAGGACATGAAAAAATTCTCAACACTATCAAGGAAATGTAAATTAAAACATCAGTGATTTATTACCTACCCTATTTAGAGTAGCAACTATAGAAGAACCCAGACTAACAAATGCAGAGGAGGTTGTGGAGAAAAGGGGACTAGTATGCATTGTTCATAGGAATGTAAATTCGCATAGCCATTATGGAGAGCAGTATGGTGAGTCCTCCAAAAATTAAAATTGGAATTATTTTATGGTCCAAGTAATCCCATTGCAATGTTGTGATATATATATATATCTTCAAAGGAAAGGGAATCAATGTATCAAAGAGATATCTGTACTCCCAAGTTTATTGTAGCACTATTCACAATATGGAATATGGAATCAATCTAATGTCCAATGACTCCTGGATGAATAAAGAAAATTTGATATAGAAACATAATACAATATTATTAAACTATAAAAAGAATGAAATCCAGTCATTTGCAACAACATAGAGGAAGCTGGTTAAAACAATGCTAATGGAAATAAGTCAGGCCCTGAAAGACAAATGTCGCATCTTTCCACTCATTAGTAAAAGCTAAACATTTGGTCATGTAAAAGGGAAGGGTGAAACAAATGGCGAATATCAGAAGCTGAAAGGGGAGGAGAGTGAGGCAATTATAGAGAGAATCTGGTTACAGACTCAAGGGCACGTAAACAGGAAAGAGGCCTAGAGCAGTAAAGCACAGTAGAGTAACCATGGGTGGCGACATTCAGTATATATTTCCAGATATCTAGGAGAGAGAATTTTGAATGTTCTCAGCACAATAATGATTTGTGTTCGAGATGGTGGATATGTTTTTTGTCCTGATCTGGTCATTAGTGTATTTATGTATTTAAAAACCACTGCACCCCATAAATAGGTACAACTATCATGTATTGATTAAAATTAAGATAAAAAATGTAAAAGATGTTGAATAATACTTATAATACGATGTTTATACTATGAATGTGAAAACTTAAAGAAAATAATGTGAATTTTAACAATGGTTACTGCTTGGGGGGAAAATAGAGAATTAAGGCATAAATATTTTTAAAAAGATCCCCACGCCTGTACCCAATGTTAAAAACATCAATGCTCCAAGGATTCTCAAAACATTCAATTAGAACTATCGAACTGTTTTTAAAAATATTTTTTTCTTAATCAGGATGTGGTAAAATGGAAACTCCAGGTTTTACGTCTTAATTTTGCATTTCAGCCTTTTTTACACATAATGGAAAAGAAGAGCACCATTTCATCAGTGCCATTTCATCTCCACACATTACTGCTGATAGTATTTTTTCAGCGTCCCTCAAAGGCGCGTTGGTCAATACCTTGTTTCATTCCCCCTATTCCTGATACACACAGTACTACCGTAGTTCAGACAGTATTTCATTGCATTTCGCTATTTACGAGGCAGAATATAAGCTTTTAAAGACAGAATAGGTTTTCTTCTCCAAATTCTTTTCATCTCGCATAGTTCATGACTTGTAGTAGATATTCAATAAGTTCTCATTGAGACATAAATAGAAAATTTAATTTATATTAACAGATGTAAAATATGGAACTATGAGGGCTTTGCTTTTCTGCTGAGTAAGTGACACATTTTCATTCTTCTTGCAATTGCAGCAAATCTCTCATGCTTTAAATTCAGTCTTCTCTTCTGAGTACTATTATAGACCTTCCTTTTATTGCAAAGGTAGTCAAAAAGTAATCCAAACTTGTTTCTCTGTGTTAAGCTAACATGGGCATTAAAAAAAATAATACAACGCTATGATTTTCACTAAACTAGGAAAGGTTATTTTGGAACAACTGGGGCTTCAGATATTTGAAGTAGTAATTACTTCCCCCATAAATATTCCCTTTTAGAGTCAAATACTATTTTCCTGTTGCCATTAAACTTTTCACTTAAAGGAAAATATCTTTATTCACAATTTACCATACTGTATTATTCCAGGTGGTAATGCTTTTAATTTGTTTTGATAGCGTTGTAAAGTCTATAGAACATCATCATAAATAATGACAGCTTACATTTCATCAGTACTACTATGTGCCAGACATTTCACTAAGTACTATTCGTAATTTAATATGAAAAATAGATACTGTTGGTGATTTATGTATCCCTGTTCCCATCTCTTTATCTATTTATCATCTATCTTTACCATTCTCTTATCATTTATCTATGTATCTATCCTTTTTTCTTTCTGTTCCTCCTCTCTCTTCTATTTATTTATAATCAAAACTTAGACAGTTTTCCAGTTGGTAAGTGATGTGATCAGCATAATAACGTAGGAAAAGGCTTTACCAGATTTCGCATTCTTTGGTCTTTAAAACTCTGAGTATTCAGTGACAAACTTTAATACTATATTTGGTATTAGTCAGGATTCATGACCTGTTTCAGTGAAGTATTCTTGTTGCTGTTTATAAAACAACCAACCAACAAATGTATCTCTGGACTTAATGAAATACCATCAAGTCTTTATAGCTAAGACTCCAAGATGATTTCTTCCATGTTAAATGGATGAAACAATGACTCTTACCTGGCCACCAGCAATACTTTTATGTTCAATGGACTTAGCACTTACTACTTACCGCAGCCTTGGGCTTTGTTCCAGAGCTGGCTCCAGGGATGGAAGGTGACAGGTCAGTGGATGCGGTGTTAGAAGACACACTTGCTTTTTTCTGATTTACTGAAATGGCATCTGGTCCGCTTTCAGATCCTGATTCCAGGTCCTATTGAAAACAAATGCATTGGTAAGAGGGACGTGTGAATAATCTGTACATATCCTGCTCCCTGCCCCCAGCACCTTTCACTCCCCCTTTTCCCGAAACACACAGGCTTACCAAGAGCTACTGACACCCAGCATGGACTCTGGCCCTCAGCCACACACTGTTTTCCAGTAACGACTGCACTGTAAGACTTGAGGAAGCGGTGGCATACTAGTTTGCTAAATTAGCAGCTTAGAGTGAACTGGAAGGGCCCATAGTGGAGCCTAGATAGGGCACTGCAGGAAGAATTAGAGGGAAAGGGGCTGGCAGGTGACGTGGTGGTTAAGGGCACTGGACTCCCACATGGCCGACTCCAGTTAGAGTCCCCGACCTGGCAGCTTGCTCTCTCTCTCTCTCTGGACAAATTAAAGTAAATAAGTAAGTAAATAAATGAATGTTAAATAAAAATAATTCTTAAAGAAAATAGAGGGTAAAGCACACCTTCCTCTTGGGTGGCCTTGATGTGCCCTGCAGGCTTTGACAAGGTGTTTCCCAGACTTCCTCACAGGGCCCTTGTGGGTACAAAATGAGAAGATCGTTCTCATTCCCCCCCCACCCTCTCCTATGCTCTCATTAGCTCCCTGTGGTGACACCTGTTACAGTGCTCTGGACTCATTTAGCTCAAGCATCTAATGAATTGTACGTTATCTAAAAACAGGAATTATGCTTTACCGTGTGGACTCAACTCCCTTATCTGAAAACAGGCATAATAACAGTATACACTCATACAGTTTCAAGAGCTTTAAGCTAAATGTACGCCGAGTACGTGTAACTGGCGTTTAATAGTTGTCATGAAATGTTAACCGCAACCACAAACGTTGTGATTACTAGTACCATCATGTTAGCAGCTACGACATCGTACGAGGTCAAGATATGTCTACCGAGTGGGTGTAACTGCCCAGCAACCTGTGCAGAGGTCGTGCATTTATCAAGTGCTCTGAGTTACAGTTGCCTGGATTGCCCGGACGATCAGGAGTGCAGAGGCTGCAGAGGAAGCAAGTGTAGGCACATCTTCCCTCGCACATATAACCTGAGGAAACGAGGAGTTAAGTGTTCCTGTGTCTTCTCTTACACATTCCAGCTTTACCAGGGTCTAGAAGGTCCAGTATCTGCCCCATGCCTTCTGCTTTGCCACTCTCTTGTTTACTAATTTGCTGCAGTCACCCTGGCCATTCGTCAGCTCTGACACACCAGGCTGTCTTCTGCAGTGGAGAACACGCCTGGTCTCTCTCTTGCTGCAGAATTTCCCTTTGCCGACCCCTTCTTGTCACTCAGGTCTCAGCTTGAGCCTTTCCCCCTCAGAGAAATATTCGCTGGCCTTTCAAGCCAGAGTACTTTCCTCCCTTTAACCTCCACAGTGTATCAATTTAGACTTTGTAGTCTTATCACCTCATTCATTTACCATAACTCATTTATACCCACAAACGAGCCATCGACCTGCTTGCTGCCCACCTATTCATCTGTTTCTCTTTGTAATCCTCGCCTTTCTCCCTCTGCTAGAATCTCTGCATCACAGAATCAGGGACTTCGCCTGTCCTGTCCAATGCTGCGGTAGTGCCTGCTACATTATGAAAGAACAACTAGGCTCAGAAATATTACTATTTCTCCTTTTTAAGTCCTCATAATATAATTTAGTTTTATAGTTTCTGTTTTAAAGTTAAAAATCATCAATAGCATTGAAATTTATTTTTATCTGCTTTTAAGGGTATAAAAATCATAACAATGGTAATGAATATGAAGAGTAACACAACATTCTTTAAATGTGTGTGTGTGTGTGTGTGTGTGTGTGTGTGTGTGTGTGCATATACTTAACTCTAGTAAAACTTCTCATGCCCGAAGTTATTTCAGACTTGGGCCATCTATTCTTTTTTTTTGCATGGAAAATACAAACAACATTTTACCTAAAGAAAAACATGACACATTAAAATTTCAAATTGATTTCAAATGGGAGTGGTAAACAGCAGGTAATTTATAAACACCAAATGCATAGTCATAAGTATTTATGAGCTATTTATATTTGACCTTTATGTTTATGAGAAGTCTTTGCATTAATTCCGCCTTCCTATTTATGATTCGATTGGCTACATGCAAGTAACAGGGTAATCTCGTATCTCTCTAGCCATGTCATGGTTCTGACATAAAATAATAAATTTTTTTTTTTTTGGAGAGGTTTTTTTGCTATAGGGCGCGTGCGCTCGCCAGACAGACAGAGAGAGACAGAGAGATAGAAAGCAGGAAATCACCCCCCAGGGGGGATGGCCACGTCGCAATCCCTTCTCCTCCATTCTCCTCTCGGGATCTTGGGCACACACGCACACGCGCCCGGCGTGAGTTTAAGCCACCGGGTCCGGGACTTGAACTGCGGTCGACTACGTGGGAGTCCAGCGACATAGCCATTACGCTAACTGCTGGTCCCCTAAAATAATAAATTTTGAGGAAATCTATTTCACAGGCAACACTATGTGGCCTTTATTTTCTTCAGTGTCACCAACCCTGTGTAGAAGGTATTATTATTCCTTGAGAGATGATGAAGCCATGGCTTAAGGCAAGTCACTTGACCAACATCGGCATTAAAACTCAGATCTCTTTGACCCCAGAGTCCAATCTCTTAACATAGCCACCATGATGTTCTGCCAGAGACCTAAAACACAACTGAAGTGATGTAAGTAAGCCCATGGATGTGTGTAGTTCAGTACAAATCTTTACTGTTTCCTCTTCTTTCCTCTTTGTACTGTTAAAAGTGACATAAGCTCTTGCAAGATTTCTCACATCCATCTCCTCCCTTACCGTTTTACTGCACCATACCAAGTTAAGTGGTGGATTAACCCTGAATTATGATTATGGTTGCCACCTAAAACTCTCCTGTGACCCACCCTTGTTTTATGTAATTCATCCTACACACCATCTTCCTACGGGCCCTGCTGGTCACTTTATGTCATGCCGCCAGCTATGCCAGCCAACCGGAATATGAAGATCTCAGAGGAGTTATCATGGTAGGAAACCCAGTGTGGTCTGTGTTAAAGCAGAGAGGCACACACAACTCAACTGTGGCACAGAGGAGTGGGTATCTAGCGGTCCATTAGCTATATATACAGATCTGGGAATCACAAAAAAGGTCTCCTTGGTGACCCTCACTACGAAGGGGAGGATGAAAGCAAGGTAATTAATTCCCAGGGAGAATATTAGAAGTCAGAGAGCAGGGAGAACTGCATGTTGGATCTGGATGCAAGATTTACGAAGCAACTGTGTGAAGAGGCGCAAATGTAGTATAAAAAAACTAGCTGTTGGCTAAAGACTAAGGAGCTTCTCCTGGACTTGTCAGGTGGGAGACAGCTGGTGGAGAAGTGATGGGCAGTAGCCAGGAATTAAATCAAGAAAAAAATATGGGGTGAAGAAGACACTACAGTTAGGCTCATGAAGATCAAGAAGATCAAGGGAAGGTTTTTATTTTAATTAATTTATTTTATCTTATTTTTATTTTTCGGTAGTTTGCTATAGGGCACATGCATTTGCTCGAGAGAGACAAAGAAAGAGATAAGAAGAGAAGGAAAGTGAAAAATCACTTCTCCCCAACCCCCAAGGATGGTCATATCATAATCCCTTCTCTTCCGTTCTTCTTTCAAGATTTTGGGCACATATACACAAGTGCTCAGTGTGATTTCTTAAATTTTTAAGAGAAATTTTGCTACAGGGCACGTGTGCTGGCTGGAGAGAGAGAGAAAGAAAGTGAGAAATCACCTCCCAGAGGGTATGGCCATGTTGCACTCCCTTCTCCTCCACTCTCCTTTTGAGATCTTGGGTACCCATATACTTACACCTGGCATGAATTTCAACAACTTAATCACTATGCCGCATGCTGGCCCGCCAGCATGATTCCCAACATTCAAAATGTGCAGTTGGCCATGTGGGACCCAGCTGCCTTAACCTCTGTGACACTTGAGGGTCCTTATTTTTATTTCTGTCTGCAATTGAAAAGCACAATGACTTCTCTTACCCACCTACCTCTGTTCTTCCTATTCACTAACATAGGAAAGTTCTAATCTGTACACAGCAGAGAAAATATAGCACGTATAAAAGGGAGTCTTCAAAAAGTTAATGGAATATATATATTACATAAGAAGTTTTGCGTAGATTTCAAAAGAAATTTTCACCAAGATAAGTTTGTATTTTAATTTCATTTTTCTATAAACTTTTTGAAGTTTCTTTTTTTTTTTTTTTTGGAGAGATTTTCACTATAGGGCGCGTGCGCTCTCGCCAGACAGAGAGAGACATAGAGACAGAAAGCAAGAAATCATCCCCCAGGGGGGATGGTCACTCCGCAATCCCTTCTCCTCCATTCTCCTCTCGGGATCTTGGGCATGCACGCACACGCATCCGGCGTGAATTTTAAGCCACCAGGTCCGGGGCGTGAACTGCAGTCAACTACGTGGGAGTCCAGTGACATAGCCATTACGCTAACTGCTGGTTCCCAACTTTTTGACGTTTCTTTGAATGTACTAGAGAAAGAAAGCCCTAAGAATGAATGGGAATGGAGTAGTGGAGTTTCAGTTTATGAGAGAGGATGGATTAATGGTGAAGCAAAGCCAGGAGGTGAGAGGAAAGAGGATGAGGACCTAGACAGTAGAGTCACCATTGGACGACAGAAGCAGAGCTTTGTTGACATAGGAGGACAGGACAAAGAACACAATCCAATCTGCTTGCAGATATGCTGGGAGGTCTGTCTAGTACCTCCGTGTTCTATCTGAAGATGAAAGCAACGGTGTTTGCTAAGAGATGAGTGTGAGGACTGGGTATAGGTATTTGGGAGAATAGTAAGAATTTTGAATAACTGCCTTGGAATGCAGGAGAAAATTCAGGGAAATCCAAAAATACTGTAGAACAGTGTTGGAGGTCCAGCTAAAGTAGTGATGTGGTTCTGGCCCACATGTTACTTATTCTTTTTCTTTCTCTTTCTTTCTCTTTCT